AGGGCAATACTTTCTTTTAAGTTGGAGTAATATTTTCATCCGTCAAGCGTTTCGTTGATATTTTTGGAGTCATATGAATATATAATTTATAAAAATTCTTATGAATAATATAAATTGTTTATTTTTATTAAAGTCATTATTACTCTGATTTAGTTATAAATATATTTTTCATCATAATTCAAAAAAAATCATAACATAATTGTACTTACTTTTTTTATTAAAAAAAGGGAGAAGAAAAAAAATTATAAATTTTGATGCGTCGACTTGTCCGTCGACTTTACTAAGTGCAAATAGAGGTCGACGCTCAGTATCTCTAACATAAAAATAGTTACTGTGATTTTCACATGCATTTGGCAAATAAATTAAACTCAACATGATACTTCATTTCAATCCTTGTAATATCCGTCGACCGTTTATCGACTTTAGAAACAATCGAATACATTATTTTTTTTTACTTATAAATCTCAAATTTTGTATAAATTATTTAATTGCCAAATTATAATTTTTTTAATCTAGTTGTGAGATACACTATTCATTCCATAAAATAAGTTCACATTGTAATTAATGTTTTGTATTAAAAGTAGTATAAATTATTCAAAAAAAATGAACTATGTCAATGAGACACAAGAAGTATATTTTATCATCATAATTCATTTCAAAACATAGAAAAATGTTGCACTTGTATGATTCCCCCTCCCCCCAAAAAAAAATTTCTCTCTGTCAAAGCGACGAATGAGTCGACGCTTTCTATTCCTAACCAAAAGTTAGCTGCGGTGATTTTTCCATTAAGATCAATCAATCACCACACATTAGAAAAAGTTGATATGTTTTCTAAAATAAATTTTCTCATCGCATTCAAATGTTTATCTTTTATTGAGATATATTTTTGCCATCATAATTCAATTCAAAATCATAAAGTTGTACTTACATAAAAATTATAAACTTTAATGCGTCAACTTTGTCTTGCTAAGTGGACATAGAAATTGACACTCTGAATCTGTGGTAAGAAAATAATTATTGTTCCGTCTTAAAATAATTATCCAGAATACATTTTCATTTTTAGTACTGTTTGAAATAAAATTCCAAATTTGGTAATCATTTTGGAATGGAGAAAACTCAACGCATTGCTTTATCTGGAATCATGTAATATCTTCATTTCTCGGCCCCCCGTCGACTTTTAGTGACACATGAATATATCATAAGAATTTCTTTTTGTTATAAATCTCAAATTATCTACAGTTTAGTTTTTTTAATCAAACTCATTATTATTGGATTGTCTATCTATATATAAGATATATTTTGTTCATTATAATTCATTTCAAATCATAAAAGCATCCCACTTAAATAAAAAATAAAGTTATAAACTTCAACGTAATGACTTTTCGTTGACCTTGCTTAGTATTAATTAATTTCGTGACTCGTCGAATTTCACATTGAAAAACTTTCAATCGATTTTGAAAAATTTGATGCTAATTTTCTATTGGCGGCTTGGAAGAAAAAAACTTCACGATATTCACTAATAGACCAGTATCAATTACTAATTTACAGTAATTAATTTTTGTGTCTAAACTTTGTGCACCTTTTTTATCATCAACTTAGTTAATGTCGGGATCCCTATCAAAGATAAGTTCACGCCATTGTAATAATCAGCAAATCACAAAGACTTAATCCACTCTTAACAATTCCTATTTTATAAGTTTTGATGTTTGAAATTGTGAATACAGATATGAACTTGCCTCAACAATCCCTCCGAAAAGGCCAATAGGCAAAAGGAGAGCTAATTTTCAATCCATGTCAAAGTGAGAATTAGAACTGGAAACCTTGAAAAATAAAAGAAGTCAAAATTTTTAAATTATTATCAGTATATATAGTTTTTAAGATCATACCAACTTTTTAGTCGGGTTAATCAAACCGTCGACTAAATTGATAATGGAGTATTTAGCATCAGGGTCGTGCCATATTAACTTGTACATCAATGAAGATAAACTGACATGATAATTTTACTATCGTTAGTGTAACTTCTTCGTCTATCATCGTTTATGAATGCAGAGGTACATGATAATCTTTTTCTTGTAAATTTAAATGAAAAAAAAATAGACATTACTATTGACTTCTTCATTTAGTTAGAGATATTTAAATAACCACAGCTCTTTTTATTTCATACAAGAAATTTTAAAAAATGATAAAGTTATTGCGTCGACTTATTCATCAATTATGTCAATCTCGAGTGGCCACTGTACCAGCGTCTGAGAGTAAGTTTTTATCTAGAATTTTTCCTCACGAGAGGTGACACTGTACAGACTGGGAGTACACATTTTTTTTTTCTCCCTTTTCCTTTCCGTTCAAAATCCTCTTTTTTTTTTTTTTGAATTCAAAGTGGGCACTTGCTTGAGGTGTGTCTATGCTAAACTTTGTACTCCCTACCTTGTCATTTAGCCTTAAACCATTTACAAAACGACATGCATTGAGCCATTTAAGGTATCAATTTGATGTCCTAAAGTTTAAATTAAAAGGAATTGTGACTTCAGCTTTGGTGTCACACACGTGAATGGTAACATTATTTTATATTTTCAGTGATGACTTAATTAGCAGAAAAAAAAATGCGAAATTAATCAGACAAGATTGGTATTTTGATCCTAAGTACTCGAATAGTTACATCTTGATGAAGACAAATGTGCCCTAAACTCTTATATGCAAACGTCACCTAAAGTCAAATGTGTGTCTTCCTGAATCAGTTAATTTCTGGTTCTTAAAACATCATGTGATTTTTTTTCTTTTTCTTTTTCTTTTTCTTCTTCCCCATAAAAATCGTTCAAATCATTTGTGCATTAATCCGTAAGTTTTAATTTGATAGTATTCCTGTGTCATCAAGAAATTGTCCTTTCTTCAACTAAAATAATAAAAACTAAACTATTAAACTATTAATTAATAGCGAGTTATTAAAAAAATCACGTATAAGATTTTTTTGTCCATCATTATCATTATACAAAAAAGTACTTCTTTAGGTCCTAATTGTAAGGCACAAATTCAAATTAATAGTAGTGTTAATTTATTTGTGCCTTAGAGTTAAAACTAGAGAAAGTACTCACAACATGATTTTGCACCATTTGGAAATATGGTCACAGATTCACTGGACATAATTAGATGCCTAAGTAACTAGATAGTAAGTAAGCGAGTTTGATATAGTAGTGCTATCGATATTACGTAATGTTTTAAGTTTTAACATACTTCCATTTTTATTTTCGGGTAAGAGAATGAATGTTTCATTCGAAATGTCGTGTAATTTTACGAATGCCACTATTTTTTCCCATGACTATGAATAATATGTACAAGCATACGCAAAAGTAAATACTAATAAAGCCCGTTGCTTAATTACTATTTTTTTTTTTTTGGTTTCACATTGGCATTGAGCTGACTAGCTAAATTAAAGCATAGAAAAATGAAGCCAACCCCAACGATCCTGTCTTATAGTATTTGGCAGGATTAAGATGAAGTTTGAAATTCATAAAGTTTCTGCAAGAAATGTTGTATATATATGGTTGGAAGTATTTCCAATCTTTCAGATACCTTTACTTGGGAAGTCGAATTATGTATATATCAAGTCAGCTCACGAAATGATACAATATTAATTAATTTTACAATTAATAAATAAAAGAAAAATTTGCAACGCAGCAGAGAGTCCATTACAAAAGGTCAAATGAAATAAGGTCATTTTTTGCTTGTCTTGTATCAACGAAGAATTAAGGATAAGACATAAGGATATTGACAATGGAGTGTGAAGAAAATGTGGCGCAGGATATGGAGCATTTTCCCCTCTGAACTTATTTTCTCTGCACTATGCAATATTATGGGTTTAAGCAATTGATTTCATTTAATTTGTTGATGAACCTTGGAATAAGATATTGTAATTTTCAAGACTTGAAGATGTAACAATTAAAACTATTTTTTTGGCTTCAATTTTTCCCCGTTTATTTCTTTTTCTCCTTGAGAACAGATAGATGATAAAAATCAATAATTACGGTTTTGGAAAATAGTAGATATACTAAAAGATTGATCATATGTCTTACTAATTGATCATCTTGCGGTTAATATAGCTAATTAGCCGTTGGAAAATATGATTAATTTCAAATTCAGAAAATTGGTGATTTTTTTCAAACGCAATTTGATGTGTTTAAAAGTTTGAAATTTGAATGGTTTGTTTGAACCCATATATATTCCCTTATTGTTTATGGAACTGAATTTTGAGACAATTATTGTGGGGTTCACATTAATAATGCAACAGGATTAAAACTGAAGAAAGAGTTGAATATTGATCAATAGACCAAAAAAAACCAATAATTTGTGGAGGCCATGCATACATACATATGCCAAATTGCCAAACACAGTTCTGTTAAAAGGCTTCCATCTTAACAACATCCAAAAATCTAAAAGATGGAACATTTGAATATATTTTTGTTTGGTTTACTCATTTAGTTTAGGGCCCGAACAAAGCAAATGATGCAACACAAAGTTAAAATCTTTACACTAGTTTCTTTATTTACCAAACCATACTTAGTAATAGCTCTTAAGCAATGTCTTGATTTTGAATTTTGTGAATTGGGAAAACATTAACATTACGAGATTTTGTCACTTTCTCCAAGAGTGTAACCGAAATAAGCTAGGAATATACGTATTCTTTTTTTTACTCGATCGGTTGTGCCTCTCATTTATATATTTTCTTTAAAAAAAATAAATATTTTAAGAAGTACAGTACGTCACAAGATATGAAAACCATATTCCACAGTATAAATACAATAGCTAATTCAAAACTATGGATCATCAAAGTACTCCTAAGTTCAACTACATCTTTAGCTATCTATCTCATTGACCTTTGGCCCTTGTCTATATTCCATGCAGAAAAGAAAAAAAAAAAAAAAAAAAAAACCCCTATGAATTAAATCGTTTCAATCTTCAGAGAAAATCATCATCAATATCGATCTTAAAGAAAAAGATTACTCTAAATGGAGCAATATCATCTTGTCAACAAGGTTTCTCGTTTCTTCCCTTCTTCATTCACATCTTCTTGCAAATCAAATACTACAAGTGCACCAGATGTTGTAGAAAGCTCCATTTCCATCACCAAAACCAACACCAGAAAAACATTTCCATATAATTATGCAATCCAAAACCCCAAAAAACCTTTTTCAAATGTAGCCCACAAAAACAGCATGATCAAACCTGCCAAAGGGCCAAAAACCCTTCACAGGAATGATATCAAAGTCTCAAGATTTCACAAGAAATCCTTGCTTTTAGGGTCTGATGCAGACGGACGAAAATGCCCTCCTGTCACTCCAGTTTCATCAACTAAGAAGGCTTATTCCCAGAAGAAAGAAAAGGTTAAAAGTAGTTCATCAAACAGTGGGAGATGGTTCAGCAGCACAACTACTGATGATGAAGAAGAAGAAGCTGGATTGCTTGATGGAAAATCAAAATCTGGTGCAAATTCTTTCAGCTTTTCTTCATGCTCTTCGGAATCTTTTCGCCAGAAAGTGCTAAATATTAATCCAAGTACTAGCTGGAGCAAAAGATATGATAACAAGATTTTCAGCGATTCCGGCCGCTGCTCATCGGCATTATCAGCTCATTCAGTCAATCATACAGTCCTCAGTCAATGCAGCCAGCCGGAAATAAAAGGCGAAAAAATCATCATGGAAGATGACGTCATTCTCATGGCCGGTTGTAAGGATTTGACTGAACTTTACTATGGCGGTTTCCAGAGGCAGAAGAAATGTCGGAAACACGCCGTTAAGTCTCGCCGGAGAAGGGCTAACAAGATTCGGAGGAGAAGAAAAAGGGAAACAGTTGTTGTTGTTGATGATGATGATGATGACGATGATCTCCTTGTTGAAGATAGTTATGCGGTTGAGAAGAGTTCAAGTGATCCATATGGTGATTTTAGGACATCAATGGTGGAGATGATTATGGAGAAGCAGATGTTTGGAGCCAAAGATCTTCGGAAGTTGTTGGATTGTTTCTTGTCTTTGAATTCATCTTATTATCATAATCTCATTGTTGAGGTCTTCATGGAGATTTGTGACACCCTCTTTGGTGTTTGACCACATGAGCTACCTTTGATTAATTGTAGAAGTGAAGTATTTAATTTTTGCTGTTTTTCATTTGTGATAGAATCTACTAGTATAGTGAGTAAATTATTCTTTGTATGTGTGTTTCTTTTGAAGGTACAAAGTGAGAGGCAATTTTTTTTTTTTTTAATCAAAATTTCATCTCTCTCAAGTCATTGTCTAACGGTGATAATTAACTATTTTCCCTAAAACTGTTAATCGAAGATGAAGAGTTCAATCAGGAAGATCCTCTGATGCAGAGATGCTAGTACTCTTCCAAAGTTTATATAGGCCTAATTTAATGTAACCAAAATTAAAATCTAGGAATAGATATGAAAAAGAAAAATAGATAATAGTGATATATATAAGGAAAAAAAATTGTACCAAGGAATGATATGTCACTTATCTAACCTATTCCCTTAAGCTTAATAAATGTATATAAATCTCAAATGAAAAGTGTAAAAAAAAAAAAAATGAATGGATGTGAACATTTATTGGTACTTTTTCTTGTAAAAATTTTGTATGTTTATCATTAGTCAAAACAAAAATGATGAAAAGAAAAAGAGAAAAAATAGGTTTACAGGTCAAGTTAAGGTAGCAGCATTGACGTGATTTACAAAATTATCTCGAGCGCGAAGCCCAACCCATTACATTTAAAACTGTTGCCCGGCCCATTTGTTTTTCTCTTTAAGAAGCCCGATCAATCATCTATTTGTGATCCGAAATCAAACTTTTTTGAACTTCCAGGAGAGAAGTAGCCGAAAGTAATCATTATTGTCAGTTGGTTGTCACCGATTATATTTCAAGGGGGGGGATTTTTGTAGCCAACAAAATTAGTACTCAAAGCCACCTCAAAAAATTGTTGACGATTTTGCCCCTGCCAGTAGAGAGAGAAAGAAAATGACTAATTCAGAGGTAAAAAAAAAAAAAATTTAAAAATAACCGAACCGGTCAAAAAAACGTCCCGGTTGAACCGGGGACGCGCAAGAAACGCGTCCGGCCATTGAACCGGACGCATACATTCCGCGCCCCGGTTCAACCGGGACGCGTATATTGCACGGCCGGACCGGGTGAAATCGAACCGGACGCGCAATATACGCGCCCCGGTTGAACCGTGAACGAGCAATACACGCGTTCAATCCGTTGGCCGGACGGGTACAACACGCGTCCCGGTTCAACCGGGGACGCGCAATATACGCGTTCGGCCATTGAACCGAACGCGTATATTGCGCGTCCTGCTGGAACCGGACGCGTGTGTGCGCGTTCCGGTTCAACCGGTTTTTTTATTTTTTTATTTTTTAATAATTTTAATTTCATGCATGTTATTATGTTAATTTATTTTGTAATTTAATTAGTTATGTTAAGTAATTGAATTAGTTTAATTATATTTATTTATTGCATGTTATGTTAATTAAATTTAATTAGTTATGTTAAGTAAATTTAATTAGTTATGTTAAGTAAATTAATTAGTTGAATTATATTTTTATTTATTGCATGTTTTGTTAATTTAATTAAGTAAGAATATTATTATTGTATATCTTAAATTAATTATTTATGTTAAGTAATGTAATTAGTTGAATTTTATTTATCTATTTAGATTTAATTAATTCGAGATAATATTTATTTAGGGGGAAATAATTAAATAATTAAAGAATTTTGTGGAATAAGTATTTAATTTAGTAAATAATTAATCTATTTAATTAATCGCTAATATTTATTAGGTAGGTATTGGAAAATTTAATTTAGTAAATAATTAAGGAATCTATTTACTGTAAATATATGTTTTTTCATTATTTATTATAATTGTTTAACTTTTTTAAATTATTGAAATATGTGTTTAATTTAATTTATTATGATGCAGTTTTTTATTGTTGTAATTTTATGTTTAATTTGCGGGATTCTTTAGAAGATTTTGGTGGCGATGGTCAAGATTACAGCATATTATTTGCTACAGATGAGGAATTTGCAAACAAGGATGATGCTGTTGCTTGGGTGAAAGGCATGGGCATGGCAAATGGTATGATTATAAATGTAGTTTCTAGTAAGAAGAAGAATGCTATTCTGATGAGATCTTTGTAGAGGGGAAAGGTATCGATTGATGATGGTGAATACTATGTCACATCAGATTCGAAGACACAGAACACTGGGTGTAAATTTAAGTTATATGTGCACCCAGTGGATGGGAAGTGGCGCATTCGGGTGTATCCTGGTGAGTTTGGAATGCATAACCACGAGCTGTTTGACGAAGATCATCCCACGAGGGGCCTTAGCGATGGAGTGAAACGACTTATACAGGTATGTCCAAAGATGGGTGCAGACCGTGTCAGATCATGACTGCGATTCAGAGGATCTTTCCTGATGAAAAAGTTAACAGACGGCAAGTGTACAATTTCAGGAAGAAATTGCGTAATGAGGGATTCCCGGTGTTGGGTGAATCGAGTGCCATGGATGTCGCGACGAAGACACTAGCGGTGGCCAAGCATCATGGTTACATCATCATGACAGATTGCAATCAGGAGACAGGTGTGCTGACTCGTGTATTTTTTGCACATCCTGATGCTGTCAATTTATTTTGCAGTTATTTATGGGTCGTCGGGATAGACTCAACATACAAGACGAACAAGTACAAAATGCCGTTGGTTGAGTTTATTGGGATGACACCGTGCAACCAGAACTTCCTGATTGCATACGCCCTCTTGAGTGACGAGGCTAGCGATAGTTATTATTGGGCTTTGAGACAGTTAAGGGATTTGCTTCCTCGTCATCTTTCTCCAGCTGTTATTGTTACTGATCGGGAACCGGGGTTGATGGCGCCGCTGGGTATGGTATTTCCAGATTCATGCCACTTGTTGTGTGTTTGGCACGTTTATGAGAATGTAAAGCGACATCTCAACAAGGAATTGAAAATTGATGCCAAGATTGCAAATGGATTTACATATGGGTTGTGGAAAGATGTTGTGGAAGCTAATAACCTGGATGAGTACAATAAAGTCATTGCCGTAATAAACCGTCGTTGGCAGTCTTTTCCGAGAGTTCTTACTTATATCCAGAAGACATGGCTAGTGGTTGACTACAAATTCGTCAAGGCATGGACGAATGCTGTGTTTCATATGGGCAACACTACTACAGGTAGGGTGGAAAGCGCGCACAAGCAGTTAAAAACCTGGCTAGAAACATCCACGGCGTCCCTGGATACACTTTGGGCTAAGGTGCACTTGGAAATTCAGAGTCAGCTAACCGAAATACGGTAAGTTCTATTCCATTATATTAGAAGTTATATTTATTATACTATATTTAGTAATTATTTTGTTTTTATGGCATTTTACGTAGAATGTTTTACAGTAATTGGCTACATTCAGGTACAAATTGGAGTACTCGAGACAGAAAATTGGCACCCATTATTGCGGTTTTCCACTGAACCGCTTGAAGTTTCAAGTTTCACATACTTGTTTCCAAAAGCTGAACACTGAGTGGTCGAAGGTGCAAGAGTGGAAAGAAGAAACCAATGACCGATGCGATCATGTGGTGTACTGGACTTGTCGAATTCCATGTGCGTGCGCCTCAAAAGGCTGTGAGATGCGGCACATCGATAACTCTTAAGCATATTCACCCATTTTGGGCGACCCTTAATATTGGTGAACAGTGCTGGTACGAGTGCTCCTACCGATGTGGATGACGAGGTCCTTTATACCGGATGGTTGATGGAAGAGCTGAATGAGTGTCCTAAGGCAGTACGACGTACTGTAAATAGGGTTCTCCACGATATTATGCATCCAGAACAGTGTGGGTTCAAACAACCCGAGGAAGTCAAGAGAAGGAAGGGGCGGCCTAAGGGGGCTAAATCAAAGAAAAAAACAGAGGCCAACCCTGTTGCCCATGAACAATCCCCACAGAAAAAAGCAACTCCTAATGTGTGGGATTACAGGGACGAGGCGCAAGGAAAGTCGACCACAGTTACTAGCGATTCAAGTAAGAAGCGCCCCTCGTCTTCAGGTGGTCGTACAGATGCATCCACAGGTACATGTTAATAAGTAATTGTTCATAATATTCTTTATTTATTATCAATTGTTCTAAATAACATTATTTCCGTGTAATGTACAGATATCTTTGCGAATGATATTTCACAGTATGGTTGCCCTACTAGCCATCCCTAACTGACGGTATAGGAACGCAAGCGTAGCAGAGCCCCACGAGTATGAACCCATATTCTCGATCCCAGCCATCAGCTCATGTACAAGTGCAACACTGCACCTCCCACCACTCTTGCTCATGAACAACGTCGAGGCCAACAATACCCACAAGAAAGCACTGGCCTGGGTATTCGCGTCCGCTTTCTCGCATCGCTCAAGGATGAACGAATCAGAGACACCGCCATGACTCCACTTGTAATCATTCATATCCATGCCAAGTATCCCTGCTGCATGTCCCCTCAACAAATCTGTGTCGGACGTACCTGTCACCAACTCTCCATCGACCTCAATGCCCAAAATATGATAAACATCATGCATCATGATGGTCATCTCCCCAAACGGGAAATGAAATGAATTGGTGTCCGGCTGCCACCTCTCAACAAATGCCTGAACTAAGCCAAGATCAATATCTTCATACGAGGTACGAAGAAGGTGACCAAATCCAGTCCCCCGAATCTTGTCTCTCACATCATCATCCATATTTTTATACCACATCTTCAACTTATTCAGAATCTTTTCGCCTTTAAAAATCTTCAATGTGGGTCTATTGTATCCATTCCAGAAATGATAAGCAATATGCCCAAGGAAGCTAGGAATCACGCTACCATCTATCGGCCCACCAGGTACTTCATCTGTCACTAGCCATGTAGTCGGATCAATGTCATCAGAAACTCTCGACTGGCTGCTACCGCCTGTACCATGAATGAGTAAAACAATAATTATTTATTACATTTTGTACATACAACAATTAATCGTAAATATAAGTAACAATAATAAATTAAACATAATTACAGAATATTAAATATAGATATTTGGTACCTGATGATGCAGTAGTGGTAACTGGACGTGGAGATACTCCAGTGGATCCGGGGACCTCGGCTAGGGCCCACGGGATCAATGAGAGGTGGAGGACGTGTAGATACTCGGGCGGAGACGGGACCTCCGCGAGGGGGCACGGGATCAATGTAGGGGGGAGATGCCTGAGCAGGGCGGGGGGGACGAGGCTGACTACCGGATATACCCAGATGCGGGAAAGAGGGACTATGATATGGACTGCGCCACTCACCACTCTTAGGAGAAGGGATAGGGGTAGGGGGAGAGGGTAAACCGCGAGGACCAGGCCGGGGAAAACTGGAGTACCGAGGATGAGGGTAACTACTAAGATTGTACACAGGCGTATCTCTGTGATGTGCACCCATCCTAACACTGTCCTGCACATCATCCTCATCAAACTCATCCTCCTCATCCTCATCCCCCTCTTCCAGGTCGTCCTCAGAATACTCGGATATATTAATCGGCTGACTAGACCGAGTCTGAAGCGGTACACCCCCCATAGTGACCTGAGTCATTCTCATTCGCTTCTTTTCTCTTTTCCTCTTTTTCTTTCGACGACTCATGGTCGGATGACGCGCACGAACCTTACGCTTACTACTATCTTCGATATCACTAGTATCACTATCATCATCATCATCACCATAAACCTATAAATAAAATTTTATTCATCGTCATCATATTTTCATAGTCTAAACAAATAATTATACGCATATCCTAAATCCTAAATAGTTTAAGAATTTAGTACAATTCATATAATAATTAAGTAAACTAAAGTACTTTACCAAATTTTAAATTAAATTACTATTTAATTAATTAAAAATATATTAATTTAATTAATCATTAACTACTTTACACACAATTTAAATTAAATTACTAATCTACTATTACTATTACTACTTCAGTATCACTAGTATCACTAATTTACATACTATTTAAATTTATTTAATCAATCAAAATGAGTAACTTTACTAATCTACTAATAATTAAATTAAAAATATAACCTAATTGCTTTCATAACTAATTAAAATAATGAGTAAATCAATTAAACTAATATGGTACTCAACTAATCTACTATTAATTAAATTAGTTTTCTCATTCAACTAATTTACATAATATTTAAATTAATTTAATCAATTCAAATGATTAACTTTACTAATCTACTAATAACTTAGTTAAAAATATAACCTAAATACTTTAATAACTATTTAAATTAATAAGTACATCAATCAAACTAATTAATGAACTAATCTATTATTAATCAAATTAAATTATTTACACAATTAAATTAAGTAACCAATCTAAATCACAGAATATTCAATAATAAAATATTACTTACTAACCCTAATTACATTAAATCAAACATAATTAAAACATAATTATATTGTAATTAAACAAATAAAAAAATTGCAATCTGGGCGCCGGACGGCCGGAAGCCGGCCGCGGCGCGGCCGGGACGCGCAGCAACGCGTCCGGTTCAACCCGAACGAGCAAACCGCCCGTTCCGGTTGAACCGACGCGTTGCTTGCGCGTCGCCGCGCCGCCGGACGGCTTCATTGCCCGTCCGGCGGTCTTACAAAATTTAAAAAAAAAAAAAGAACCTTGCGCGGACGGGCAATGAAGCCGTCGGCGGCGCGCGCGACGGGACAAGCAAGCGCGCGTCGGTTCAACCCGAACAGGCGCTTTGCTCGTTCGAGTTGAACCGGACGCGTTGCTGCGCGTCGGCCGCGCCGCCGGACGGCTTCATTGCCCGTCCGGCGGCCAGATTCAAATTTTTTTTTTTCCTTCAATTTACAAAGTTTTTTTTTTAAAAAAACGTACCCGTGATGAGATCGGCTCTTTCCCGCTTTGATTCTTCCGTGTTGCCATCAATTTTTCACCAAATTAGACTTCAAAATGGGATTTAGAAGGGTGGTGGTTTTAAGTTCTTAAGTTTTCTCTCTTTTTTCCTTTGGTGGAAGTTTAAAATGTAAAGGGCAAAATGGTCCAAAAAAATTTATGGTGGCTTCAAGTAGTAAAGATAGTGGCTTCAAAAACTAACACCCTTCTATTTCAAATCTCAACATTTTATTTTTCTGTCCGCGCCAATTTAATTGTTTCTTCATTATTAGAAGTTAGCAATATTGGTCTAGTCCTTTGTCATTTCTGTATCAATCGTCTATGGAAAATTTCTAGTGCATGTAAATGAAATTTTATTGTTTCTGGTACCCAATCTAAGAAAGGAACTGTACATATTACCTTCCCCTTTTGTTGTAAGTTGTAACTTACATTAAACAAAGTAGGATTTAAGTACCAACAAGCACTTAGTCTAAGTGATAAAGGTATTGGACCAGTTACTATGACCCGAGTTCGAACTCGGACATGGGCATACAACAATGATTAAAATATTTGTTGGGAGGGCAGTGATTAAAATACTCATTGGGAGAGTTTTGCCTTCCGAAAGGGACCTCCCTGGCTCGAATTCGAATTAGTCGGAACAATGATTTCGGACACTGGGTGCGTAATATATATAAAAAAAAAGAAGAAGTAGGATTTAAGTAAAAGAAAAAAATAAACCATTGGGCTTAATCTCTTTTGTCCAATCCATTTGTGGCAATTTAGATCAGGGCTACCCAGGAGGATTGTAGACTAATGGAGAGTTGAAGGCCACACCAACTGGATTAGGCCTTAAAGTCTTAGAAAACTAACATAAACGACACCGGGCCTTCAAAATCGGGGATGCCTAAAATAATAATTTGATTTATTATTAGTAGATTAAAATAACACCATCTATACATATATATATATACTAAGAGAGAAACCAGAGAGAGAAAACAAAAAAGAATTCTAAAGGTGCCACATAGGATAAAATCCTATGTATCATTTTTCTAATGGTTGAGTAAAAAAATATTTACAACAATTATACTAATAGTCCTTCAAATTTTATGTAAATAAAGTTTTATCAAATGGCATTTAAAACTATAGTTTAAAATAAGAAAATAAAAATTAATTAAATTTAATAGACAGGATTAAAGAACATTAATGCACCAGAATTATTCCCTCCCCAAAAGAATCCCCAAAGTTACTACTGGACTCATTTAATTAATCTCTTTAAAAAAAAAATCTCCCTTCCAATCATGTAAATCAATAGACTACAATTAAAAAAAAATATCAATCATTCAACATTAATGTTAGCTTTAAAATCTTCTCCAAAAAATATGACCCTGTATTTTTCGCCAATAAAAAAGAAAAAAAAGGTACAAAATTTGCCTTTAATTATTACTAAAAGGATGGGATTTAACTATAATTAAATGTTATCTTTTGAATTTCAAACCAATGCATTTATTTGTGTAATATCATATCTACCCAAATAAATATAATCTTTCCTTAATAATATCTCAAAAATTGTTATAAACTTTATCTTTATCACTGAAATTTTGGATAATCAATTATCATCAATCCCAATTTATCTCTATTTATACATGCCACACAAACCATGAGTATGTTTCAGTGCTGCAAAATTTTCCCCCTCCCAAAAACAACCCGAAATCCAAAGATGAAAGGGCAAAAACTTTAGCCCAACAGTTGGTTTGTTGTTCTGAAAGCGATGAACTAATAGTGGGTCGATCGTGTGGCATGGGAGGTAATGGTCAATTAAGGTTATATATGATTTTTTATTTCCGTATGTCTTCTACAAAATGATATTTTAGGGTTCTTTTTTAGTACTAAATTTATGTTTTTTTCACCCATAATTTCATAATTTTATTAATTATTATTTTCTATTGTCATAGCAAAAAAGGATTAAAGGGCAAAATTTTAACTCTACGGTTGGTTTGCTCCTCTAAAATATCAAGTATTGGGCCTAACAGTACTATAAAATCTTTAATTACAACAAAATAACCATAAAAATTTTAAATTTCATACTTCAGTCACACATAATCTACCATCTGCTATTGATAATTACTTCATTATGTATTTTAATCGTACAATTATTTTATTTTTTCATTCAATATGTAACATTAATACAA